GTTGTCCAGAGTAAAGCAGTTATTAAATGAAGTAACGTGTCCCAGAGATTTATGATGAGTTAAGGGACCACCCTTCTACAGTCTTTGCTCTGAAATCTTTTCTTACCTGTCAGGCAGTTGCATCCCAAACTTGATTCTTCTGCTTTGCCACGCAGAAAAGAAAGATCCAGTCCATAAGCTGTGGCATAAAAGTCCTCAGGCCTCTAAATGATGTTGAAATTCAAGTAGTGTGACCCCACAGCCCCTCACCCATCACTGCTGTATTCGCAGTGCAACCCACGGGATCTTCCCACCCGCTGAACACATCACAAAGAACTCCCACAGAAAATGGCCCAACGCAGCCGGGGTCCTCTGCCCGACCTCACGTGAACAGCAGTGAACGTTCCTCTGCCTCACCCAGCACAGCAGTCGAGATAAAATGAAAGAACACTGCAATGCAAACCATCAGCTCTGGCATGAGCCCGTCCCTGCCGGCACCTCCATCATCTTCCTCATCGGGTCCCCTGTCCCGGGTCATTTATGAACAGGAATGAGCAGTGAGAACAAAGGCGGGCAAGGAAGGTTTCCGGGGGTTGCAAACGCCAAACGAAGCTACAAAATCATGGCCTTTAGTTACATCAGTAATTATTTTTTAAAGAAAGAAAAGCAAACGGATGAGAGATCACGCACTTACCCTTCAGCTCACAGCAAGCAAAAACCAAGGGCTTCAAACCCCAAGATGCAGGTATTTAGCCTAAATACACGGTACTTACATCTGTAAGCCTTTAAAAGTAAGAGTTTACATTTCTTAACAGTTGTCTTTAGACAAAAATAAAGCAGAAGAATGAAACTGAAGTGACTGTGCCACAAGTAAGGGCTTTTAATTCATTTATTAGGGTATTTTTGTCAGTAATAAGATTTCCACTGAGTCTTCAGCGACTCTCAGTCGCCACACTGTGACTTTCAGCCCATGCTCAATGCACAGGAGAGATCTGACACAGGCAGTGAGCAGCAACCTCACTCGGCTTCGGATTTCGCTAGAAAAACACAGCTACAGCGAGAACCACAAATAAAGAGCTGGCCAACCCCTCTGCCTTTCACAATACAACAGGGGAATGATCTGGCTCAAAACAGAGCAGGGTTTAACAAAGCTACGGAGGGTTTAACAAGGCCAGCAGAGGAACGGAGGCTGCAATGGGATGAACAAGAACTGATTCCCCTAAAGGAACCAAGGGAAAGTCTGGGTTTCCTGTACCAGCCGTTACTTTGTCAAACACTGAACACTCACTGAGTGATTTTACAGAACCCTGTCAGATTTCTGTTGAGATGTCTGCTGCGTGGCCTATTTGTCAATGCTGCCAGCTCACAAACAAGGGGTATTTGGGAGTGTGGGGGTGTAAAAACAGCTACGTAGATGGTAAAGCTGCAGAAAGGTTAAGTAGAAGCATAGAGGAATAGGTAAACTGGGCTTGTTTAGCCTGGAGAAGAGAAGGCTGAGGGGAGACCTCAGCACCACCTACAACTGCCTCAAGGGAGCTTGGAGAGAGGTGGGTGCTGGGCTCTTCTCCCAGGTGATGGGGGAGAGAACAAGGGGAAACGGCACCAAGCTGTGCCAAGGGAGGTTCAGGTCAGAGATAAGGAGGAAGTTCTTTACTGAGAGGGTCGTCAGAAGCTGGACCAGGCTGCCCAGGGAGGTGGTGGAGTCACCATCCCTGGATGTGTTTAAGGAGCGGGTAGACGAGGTACTTAGGGATATGGTTTAGGGGGTAGACAGGAACGGTTGGACGTGATGATCTCAGAGGGCTTTTCAACCGAGTGATTCTGTGATTCTGTGAAACTGTTCTAGCAAACCTCTGGCCTAGCCAGATAGAAAGAAAAAAAATCTAAATTAAAATAAAAAAGCAGTACTACATAGGCATTTCGTTTAATTAGACAATTATAAAGCAATCGTGATACAGAAAACCATCAATTAACTCAAGCACGGACTCAGAAGATCAGCTACTCACACTCTTGCTGCAAACGCAGAATCACAGAATCACAGAATCCCAGATCGTTAGGGATTGGAAGGGACCTCCAAAGCTCACCCAGTCCAATCCCCCTGCCGGAGCAGGAACACCCAGATGAGGTTACACAGGAAGGCGTCCAGGCGGGTTTTGAATGTCTCCAGAGAAGGAGAATTTCAGGAGTTACGCTACACGCCAAGAGAAGTCACCACTGTTATCTGAACCAGTTTTAGATCACACTCTCCTGACATCCGCCTGCACAACCCTTCCGGGGCTGTCAAAAAACGAATCCAGATGAGGCGCTATCATCCAAATCCCTGTAAACAAAGACTGCTCAGAACAAGTCTCGTCAGGACCAATATTGCTATCCCTCTTGACTGCTCAATATTGCACTTCATGTCTGCTGTCTGCAGGAGCACCTGAAGGGCGAAAGCGCCAATGCAGACCGAGATTTGCACTTTTATCCTTTTGGTTAGGGCATCTCCTTTACTCATTTAAGCAATAAACAGGAAAAAGTTATAAAACACCAGTGTGTGCATAAGAAGAAATAGCAATCATGGTTAAACCAGGAATTTTGTCAATGCAGCTTGTCTAGAAGAACAGCAGAAGAATTCCTGAAGCCAAACAAACAGCAAAACACTGTTAAATCAAACCTTGCTCCATTTCTGCAAGAAATCCAAACCAGAGTTAGGTCCATGTCAATACACGGATGGGAAGTGGCAAAAACCAGTGAATAACCCAGTGAAACTGCAATTCTTATTGTGGTTTCTAAACAAACTGATGCTGAAAATCATGAACTTCAATGTCTGGAGCGTACAAGCAGCCAAAACTTTTGTAGGCCTCAGCTTGAAGATTTTATGTAATTTTATTAGAAATTGGGGCTTGCAGTTTAAAATTCCCTGGAAAATCCAACTACGCCAGCCAAGTGGTGAAGAAACCACGCGAGCTTCCTCTCGTTTTAGGGAAACATTAAGAGTCTCAGTTCGACTTCTAACTTTGGGCTGTCAACCACCAGTACAGCAGCTTGTAACACAAAGGTCAATGACTAAGAAAACAGTTTAAACCAGCTGAAAATAAGATCCAAACGCACAGAATTTCCTCCTTCCCTCCATTTCAAAAGGTAAGATCTGGACTTGAAAACCCAGCACTTGGCAATGACACCCCGTGAGTAAACACTGGGAAAGAGACCATCAGAGCTCCATGTCCCCACCCCAGGGACACAACTCAGCACAGGTTCCTAAACTAAAGACATCAAAGTGTGGCGACGCAAACAATTTGCCTCTTTTTTTTTTCTTTTTGCAAGATGACTCAATCACAAAGTTCTCAGAATGATTTAATGTTTATAAATATTTAAAGGGTGAGTGTCACGAGGATGGAGCCAGGCTCTTCTCGGTGACAAACAATGATAGGACAAGGGGTAACGGACACAAACTGGAACACAGGAGGTTCCACTTCAATTGGAGAAGAAACTTCTTCTCAGTGAGGGTGACAGAGCCCTGGCCCAGGCTGCCCAGAGAGGTTGTGGAGTCTCCTTCTCTGCAGACATTCAAAACCCGCCTGGACGCCTTCCTGTGTAACCTCATCTGGGTGTTCCTGCTCCGGCAGGGGGATTGGACTGGATGAGCTTTGGAGGTCCCTTCCAATCCCTAACGGTCTGGGATTCTGGGATTTGAAACGTCCCCTCAGCCAGCCACGAATTGTTCCCAGTGTAATGAACACGTCTCATAAGTTTCGGTCAAAACCTCAATTAAGCAATATTCTTGGGATTAACTAATCCAACGGAATGCAACATGCAAACATTTGCTTTCCCTCTCTCTCTTTAAGAGCATTTTGAGGTCACTTCAAGTGGGGCCTTTTTGGAAAATAGTTTTCTGTACCTCACAACGCAGTAAAAATCTGAAGCTGTTTAGATCTACCTGTCAGGTTTGGACACAGCTTAATTCAGCTTCGGGAAGCGGTTACTAATGTCAGAAGTGAGACATTTACCTTCTGAAAAGAAGATGATTCTGCACGGGCTGCCTCTTTCGGCGCAGAAATAAATTTCCTCATGTATAGTGGTTTATAATGGGAGAAACATTGG